CATAATTATTAGGCTCATGGGCCACCTGCCAAAATGGAGATTAAAGTACGACGATCAAATATACTCGAAGACTCATTCCGAATTATTAATTCTATGCATCCAGACAAATTAAGAGCAAAATTATGGGTTGAATTCGAACAAGAAGTTGGACTTGATTATGGAGGTCTAGCTAGAGAATGGTTTTTCTTGTTGTCTAAAGAGATGTTCAATCCATATTATGGCCTTTTTGAATACTCAGCTATGGATAATTATACATTACAAATAAATGCTATGTCAGGATTATGTAATGAAGAACATCTTCATTATTTCAAATTTATTGGAACTGTAGCTGGTATGGCTGTTTATCATGGCAAATTATTAGATGGTAATTATTACATAGATGCAATTGTTTTATACATATGATATTTAAAATAAATATTTATATATTTGATTTTATAGCATTCTTTATTCGGCCATTTTATAAAATGATGTTGGAAAAACCCATTGAATTGAAAGATATGGAAAGTGTAGATTCAGAATATTATAATTCACTTCTATGGATTAAAGAAAATGACCCTTCTGAATTAGATTTAACTTTTTCACTTGATGAAGATAGTCTGGGTCATACGTCTCATAGAGAATTGAAACCTGATGGTGCAAATATTCATCTAACTCAAGAAAATAAAGATGAATATATAAGGTAAGTTTATATACTGTATTTATTCAAATAAAAATGTTAAATGATATAAAAAAATCTAATATTATTTATATATACTGTTTAATAAAATCTATTAATTATTAATATGAAATTTGTTTATTACATTTAGTTTAGTGATTCAATGGAGATTTGTATCTCGTATACAGGAACAAATGAATGCTTTCCTACAGGGTTTTGGTTCCATAGTACCTTTAAGTTATATTAAAATATTTGATGAAAATGAAATGGAACTTTTAATGTGTGGTATTCAAAATATTGATGTTAAAGACTGGAAAGAAAATACTCATTACAAAGGAGATTATTCACCCAACAATATTGTCATTCAATGGTTTTGGAGGGTATGTACATTTGAACTAAATCATATATTTGTATGGAATCTTCTATAAAGATATGATATTATACTCATTATAAATATAAAATAATTAAATATTAAACATATCAAAGAAGATGTCTTGATTCGCAAATTTCATATGAAGATAAATAGGATAGTTTGTCAATTGCATTTGCTCGTAAATCAAAATTTTTCTCTGGTTGTTCTTTAGCATGAGGTGAAAGGTCTCAATTAATGACACCATTTTTAGAATGGAAAAGTATCACGATACACTCATAAAAAAAAAAATTCACCATTGATGTTAATATTTTTGGAATGTATAAGGATTAGCTAGTGGTTTACATGAAATTTGTAACATCTTTTTTTGTTACAATTGTTAATATTTGGTTTAAAGACATCAATATTATGATAAATGTCTGTCTAATCTAAACAATATAAAATGCTAAATCAAGCTTTTTTTAAATTATTTGTAATTCTAAAGACATACATGTTCTAAAGTCTTTTCCAACTAGAGATCAATATAATTAAGCAATATTCTTTTGTTCATATTGATCCATTATTACAAAAAAAATAATGTTTGAACTATTTTTTTATTATTTTTTCTAAACTTGATACATCCAATAGTTTTTTTCAAAACAATTTAGACAACTGTTTTATTTTTTTTAAAGATTTAATAAACAATATATTTTAATAATTTGAGTTTTCTCAAGAATTAATTTTTTGATGATTTATAATGTCTTCATGCTTAAATTAAAATATTATTATGTCAGTTTTTTTTCATTTATTTATATATGTATTATGTACTGTACCTATATTAATAATATTTACCCAGTCAATGAAAGGAGGCATAATATGTGTGATTTTTTTTTATAATATTTTGAAATTGGTTCTATAAAATCATTCATTACTAAACTAGTAGCCAAATAATTGTTGTAGTGAATATAAAATTGTATTGTTAATATAGTTAATTTTTTAGCATTGTGTAATAGTGTATAATAAATTATTCATACATTTTTTGTAGGGTGTTTTGTCATTCAATAATGAAATGAGATCAAGACTTTTGCAGTTTGTAACAGGTACATCTAGAGTTCCAATGAACGGATTCAAAGAGTTATATGGAAGTAATGGACCACAATTGTTTACAATTGAAAGATGGGGCACCAAAGAAAATTATCCCAGGGCACACACTTGGTAAGAAGCAAAATGATTTAATATTTCATTATTTTATATTATAGTTTCTTTAAAAATTTTTTTTTATATAGTTTTAATAGATTGGATCTTCCACCTTATGAAAGCTATCATGAACTGAGAAACAAACTAATTAAAGCAATTGAAGGCTCACAAGGTTTTGCTGGAGTAGATTAATGTAAATTCTGAACAGTATTTATAAATTACAGGAGTTACCTTCCTTACAAAAGTCTACCAAATGCAAATTTATGTTACAGTAACATTACCCCTCCAATGATCACATGTGATATGACTATAACACTAGAAATAAATATAAAACATTTTTAAATATTAATCATTCCAAAATGTAATATTAAAGAATTGTAATATTAGTATTATGTTTTAATATAACTGTTAGAACAACATTTCTAAGTCGCTTATTAGCGATGGCAATATATTTTTATAGATTTTTTTTATTATTAATGGGTTGAATTCATCATCAGGGTAGTTTAGAATAGCTATCAGTTGAATTTCTATAGTGTATATACATTTATAATTATTCATTTATCTGTGACTTACAAGTTACAATCACCAGTTTAATTATAAAGACTTATTTGCTAATGAAACCATAAGTTCTGTTATGTCATGTTTTTAAGATGTGAAATTTAAAAAACCAATATATTTCTGTATACAAAATCATTATTTTTATTTATTTTAAAACTAAAAAAAAAAAAAAAATAAATAATAAAATATTTTTAATTGTTGATAAATTACTGATTGGAATTTAGATAGAGGATCTGAACTTCTTGGCTTTTACATTTTATATTATTTTTCTCAGATTAGACTTATGAATTTTAATCGAACATATTTTAAATATTTAATATTAAGCCAAAGAAAGAAATACAAATATTAAATGGAAATTGTGATTTATAAATAGTTTTCAAATGGCAATTATTGTTTAAGAGATAAGTGTGTATTAATAGAATACAAAACTAGTCATCAGGACAATTTGCATTTTGCCAATATGATTATTTGAATCTTGTAACTCATTATGTTTATCTATACAGTATTCAAACAGTTAGTAACTTGTGTATTTAATATAGAAATTTTTAGTTGCATTGAATGGAGAAAACATTGTTAAGTTAAATCATATTTTTCCATTTTTTATCATAATTATTTTTTTTAAGATTGTGTACATGCGAATTTGAAAATTTTAGTGATCCTACGTTTATCAATATGTAATAGTGTTTTATAAAATTATTGTTATTATTTGTATTTTTTTCTGAAGTATTTTTATCCTTCATGTTTATTATAACTATTTTTTATTTTTGAACGAAATTATCGTTTTTATAAATATTATACATTTATGGTGTCACCAATTATTTGTACCTTGTGACTTAATTGATAATTTTTGTTGTTAAATGATTGTACTTACAGAAAATAAAATATATTCACAAATATACATAACACTTGTGTGAACCAAATTTATTATAAATAGTATCAAACTACAAAAATTACACTGTCCTGATAGTTTTAAATATTTACTTAAATTATAATTGTCTTATGGATAATATTTAATGTTATTTTATAAAGTGATATAAATTTCAATTAAGTGAGCAAAATAATAATATATTTTATACACCTTTTATGTAATATATTTTTTATTATTGAAGTTAATAATGTATAATATACACATTAAGACCTAATCAAATATTGTTTATTTTGTTTTTGAATAAAACGTACAAAATTCAAGGTTGTTTTATCATTGTAGTCCTACATACTCATTTGTTTTATTTTCTTTACTGTTAAAATTTTTTTTTTTCATTTAAGTTCCCCAACTATTAACTTAAAATATATCTTAATGAGTATTAAGAAATATATTCATCAGCATATTTTTAGTTAAATATGATAGTAAAGTTCCATGCAATTTTATGAAAATAAATTCTTAACTTTTCAGTAATCCACATAGCTCTAATTCATTGACTGTGATGTATGTATAATTCTATGAATTCATACAAAATTAAAAATGATTCAGTCTTAGAGATGCAACTTTTATGCAACAGAATGGATTACAGTTCCATATTTAATTTTTCTTATGATTGCTTATTTTTTTTTCATTGTTAAACACCTAACCTTTATAACCACATTTTCGGTTTTTTGTCATATACCAATAATCTATAGACAAATTAATTTTTATCAATTTTTTTCTAATTTATCAAATGACTTATTAGTTACAATCAGTAAATATCTAGACAAACAAATACAATACTGTATAATGTGTGGTATAAGACAAGAATACCTAAATGTGTAATGCAAAACATATTTTAAACATTAAATTACTATATTTGATCCAAAAAAGTTTAACTGTAACACTTTACTTAGTTGGAATACTTATTAGAAAATAGAAATCAAAAAAATTATCATTAATAGAAAACGTAAAATATAGGTTTGTGCATTTTACAACTAGTAAATTCATGGCTTTACTCAGAAAAGTAAATTATACTAGCACTGAAAATAGATTTACTTTATTAAAATTCAATTTTAACATAAAAATAATGTCTGTTATAATAAATAAATAGTATAAAAATAAAATAAACATAAACTTTTGTTATTTAATACCTACTTATTGTTTTAAATTGTATTTAAATATTAAATAATTAAAATTAATGTGTAACAATATAACGGTTTGAAAATAATGCAATGTATAAGTAAATTACATGAATTAAATCATGTATTTCAATTATTGTTAGTGTTTAACATAAATACACTGTATCAAACAAAAAGTTAGAAAAAAAAAATCAATTATTTTAAAACAAAAAGATCATTTAGTCATTTAAATTTTCTAGTATAAAATTAAATTTAAAATAAATTTTCTTGAGTGGACATTGTACCTGAATGAGTTGTCTTTATCTTACTAATGCATAACATACTAAATTGATCAGAAGCCCTGGACATTATTTTTACCTTTAAATTAATTGTATTAAAGTAAAATGGGTTATTCTGAACAAAATAACATTTGTTATGTTATGTTATGCATTAGTAGTAAGACATGAACCATACATTTGGTAAGTTTTCTTAATAAAATAAAAAAAATAACAAAACATAATATTATCACTTATTCATTATAATAATTTTTTAGATGAGATGAATTTTCACAATAATATACAATTATAGATCATTAAATATAAAATTATACAGTTAATATTAATGGACAGATTGTTATATTTCTAATGGACGGATTAGTTTTTTTATTAAAAATAACTTAAGAAAATAAATTATTAAAAGTTTTATTGATCATAGAAGTTACGTTCATGAGGAGGATACATTTGCATTACTAAATTTTTGCTCTCTCTTCTTTGATCATAAGCAATTCGTGCATCCTGAAATAAATATAAATATTTTGGTGATTCATAAATAAATAAACAAATATTTAACAAACCTTATATAAATACCATGCTCCATATGCATGGACAAAACCTGATATAATAGCAATATAATATGACCATGATAAGTGGTTATACACAGGATATATGAGCCAATCACGTCTCCAACAGTTGAATGGAAACAGGATTACAGTAAAGAATATTAATATAGCTGAAAAAGAGGAATTTATTAAAACCATATTACAATATTCTTGAGATGTAATAAATAAAAATATATTTTCAACAAACAAGAAGTTATAGCTGCTAAGAAACATGCAGCCGATAGCATGTATTCATATTTAAGAACAAGACGTTGTGGATATCTGGTTATAACAGCAGCAATCATTGCTAATGTTCCAAGTGATAACAATATTGCTAAAGTCATACAAAGTTCCAAAAACAATAGCCATCCTTTTAAAACAAATATAGTAATTAATAAATATTCGAAAAAAAAAAAATTTGTACCATCAAACATTTGAATTATAATTAATTATTAATTATTATTAACCTGGTAATAACCATTCTCGAATAACATAATATTCTTCACTAAAAACTGTATTGCAACCATCAAAGAGTTTATCAAATTGATAATGAGGGTATCGGAAGTGATCAAAACAATATGTCCATAAACCCATGTGCTTAAAATTTATGAACGCTTCATCATATGATTCCAACCAATAAGGGCTATAAATATAAATTTATTATTTTTAAATAAGTTAACTAATAATGTTAAAATTTTATAAATACCTTATAAATGCAATGATCAAAAGAAATCCTCCAATATAAATGATAACACCAGCATCACTAATTAGTTCTAGAATAGGATAACATTTTCATTTAAAAATTGTTTAATACTTAGATTTTTACCACTAAATATTGTTTTTATACCATTTAGGGCTTAAAATATGATGATATTATATATACAGTAATAAAAATCTTTAAACTAAATCTACTTAACATTAAACAATTATTTTTAAATATGGGAGTAAAAAAGGTAACAAAAAGTTGTAATAAATGGTGTAAGTACTTTAGCACACTACTTCATAATAAAATGTGAAACTTCTTTTAATACTATAATATGATTTGCTTATATATTTATTTTTGTTACTCATATTAATAAATACTACACAATTGTTTTATAAAGTAGCATTAAGTCACTTTTACTATGATTTATGAATGTGAAACAAATATAGTTTTCATATTTTTTTATTTGTGCATGGTACTTGCTTATTTGAATACCTAACCAATGTAGTTACAAACTGTTTGTATTAAAGATACTATCTTGGAATAAATTAGTTAATTTAACTTTTACTTAAATACTGTTACAATTCTTTATTGGTTACCAAATCAACATAAAATTATAATTGGAAATTTTATTTTATTTTAATAGTTTATTAAAAATAGCTATTAACAGTAAAAAACAAGCAATAAAATAAGTTCTGACAAATAGTAAGTAAAGTTAAATAGAATAAAAACTAATATTATTTTTTACGCATGAGAAATAGGAATCCAAATTAGTTTATACATGTAACGATAGAATTTGCATTATAATTAGTGGAGCTTAGGAATGTGTTAACAAAATGAAGTTTAAAAGTTAAACTAGGTGTAGCATAATAATATCATACATAATTAGAATAATTTGTAAAAACTAATGGGTTTTTAACACAGGAAATATTAATAGATAAATTTAAAGTTTTGGTTTAAGATACTTTTAAAGAGGTAAATCATATACTAAAATAATACAATAAAACACATTATCACTGAATTCTGAGGTATACATTCTATAGAACTAAGATGACATTATTAAAAAAATGGATAGACCGTGAATTTTGATCCATTTCTATATGAAAATAAATAACCAAACCAAGATAAAATGAAACTAGTCCTCAACTAAAATGAGCAGTTATACTTAACAGAACAACGTGATTTCTAAGCCCTTAACACTTCATAAAGTTTGGTGTTAAATTATGATATTTTATAATAAAATCTAATTGTTGTATAAATTAATAATAAAATGAAGAGGTACGATCACAGTAGGTACTATGATGATAATATGATAAAGAACTTACTGGACGCTTTTGGATAGTCAATTTTGTCAGAACTCATGGTAATGACTGGTTTAAAATATTTAGATTGCTAATGGAGTACGCCGTACGGTGCTGAATATCAACAGTTCAAATTTTTAATTTTTTTTTCTATGGTTAGAATATTCAATGAAAATAACGTAAATTAATAAAAACTAAAAAGTATTTAAACATAGTTATTAAAAATAAAAATGAATTTTCAATTATTTTAAATATTATAAGAATTTAATATATTTAATTGTTTACTGTTTAAGAGCGTTAGTTGTTGGTTCACGCCTTAGATAAGAATTTTTGCTAATAAATAATAAATATACCTATAATACCACAAACTACTACCATTGTATTCGACAATTATCATAGTTACCATTATGTTCTATGTTATTATATCTTCTTTGAAAATGATCAGCTGTTTCTGTTATCATATCGTTCGAATTTGTACTTAATAATTTTTCTAGTTATTCTTCAGTGTTTCATTTGTTCACGTTTCTGGATTTTTAGTGATTTCTGATTTATAGCAAATAATAATAATATAGATTCTTATATTATATTTAAAGCAGTAAGTATTTTTCTATTTATTTATGTACGATTTAATAATTAAAATAAATACATTTTTAAAGCGATGGGAGGCCATCACGAACATGAAATTCAGATACCGGATTACAGAATTTATAAAGTTGATGATGTACCTGAACTTGTGAAGGTGAAGAATATTTTAGCTACTGAAGGACTCAAAGATCCATGGTTGAGGTAAAGTTACTTTTAATTTATAATAGGTTGTCTTCGTTTTACTTAGTATCAGTAAATTAACTATTATAATATGCAATATGTCAGTAAAATATATTTTATTATTTTATTTTTTTTTGGGGGGGCTGGAATTAAATTTTTAGTTCTCTCCCACACAACTACACAAGTAGCAACTTTTTAGTTTTAATGAACCGATTAAAAATAAGTTAAGATATAAGATGTGTTATTATTTAATTTATTAACAGCCTTCAAAAAAAAAAAAAAAATAATAAAAATACATATAGATATTTAAATATGTAGATATACATAAAAGTAACTTACATTAATAAATAAGACGCTGGGGTAAAGGGGGGGTGTTATAACCTGTTAAAACCCCATTGGCTTCTTCATTAATTGTATGTATATTAATATATGGCATGGGTATTACTTTTTTGAACTGTACTTATAGATTTTAAGTATATAAGTATAAGTATGTGTGTGTGTGTGTGTGTGTGTGCAAACTAGTGATAATTATGTCTCAATATTTGGATGATCCACCATATTTTTTAATTAAAAAGCACTTACAATATTTTTATAAATTTAAAACTAATATTTAAGTACAGTTAAGATTGTGAAGAATAAATTTATTAATAAGTTAATGCTTTTTTCATTTGTAATCATATCTATTCAAACATACATACATATATATATATATATATATATATATATATATATATATTAGCAACAAGTTAACAAATAAAGTAGTGCTCTTTTACTATTTTAATTAATTAATTACCTACATTTTTTACATTTATCTGAGTATTAATGTTACTGGCTTACTAAATAATTTATTCAATATACCTAATATAAGGTTTCCCAATCTAGTCTGCGGAATTTCTAAGGATCTGCTAATATACCTGGGGGGGGGGAGGTCTATATACTCATCTGTTATTGATATTTAAATATTTAATGTACCTATAATTTAAATCAGATTGAAAAATGTAGCTTTTCATTAATTTTATTATGGAGTTCACAATCATTTTTCGCATTCCTAAGTTAGATTAGGTTATTTTAGGGAGGTGCTTGCCAGAGTAAAGGTTGGATAAAAGTAATATTATATATTACTTAAAATTGGAAATATGTTGTGATAAGTGTTAAATAATTATTGAATTTTTATTTTATATTTTTTAATAATTCTGGATTGGCCGTAGTTTTGTGCTATTAAGAATATAATATTAAATTAATAAAATATTCTGTTTATATATTACATTTTGAAGATTGAGGAGGGTGGCTGTAAAACTTCATATATACATTATACATTTAAATGTATGTTTTCTAATGATTCTAAAAAATTCTTGGTTGAGCCCAGGCTAGACCAACTCATCACATGTATATAAGTATTCTAAAGATTATTTTACGATACACAGTGCGTCCCATAAGTTTTGAGACAACCATTCTAAAATTAGTCCTAGTATCTAGATAATTATGAAATTCTGGGAAGTTATTACGATAACACTTATGATTATTCATACAAAGGTTCACGTGTATAAGATAATTTCTGGTAGTATAATCGTATCTGTTGTGAATGTATGTTTGAGATCGCGGTTATAATTTCAATCGCACACACCGCGGCGATTGTCACTCAATTTTTGGCCAAAAAAAATGATTCCAGTACTCGACCACCCCCCGTATTCACCAGATTTGAGTCCTTCGGACTATTTCCTGTTCCCAAAGTTGAAGATGGAGCTCAAGGGGCAGCATTTTTCCACCATTGAAACGATTCAAGAAGTGGTGACCCAAAAGTTGAAGAACATTCCTACAGCTGACTTCTCACGGGCCATGGAAAAATTGGGCGATCGTGCAAGAAGGTGTATAGAATGTAATGGTGACTATTTTGAATAAAAAATTGCTTAAAACATTTTTTTCATTTTTTTTGTAACATCAGTAACCTTAGTCTCAAAACTTATGGGTCGCACTGTGTATGTATTATTAAAAATAACATACGTTTAATTATCTACGTACTGTATATATTAATATTTAGATAAACTGATTTAAAAAAAATCTTGGAATAAAAGTTTTCAAAAATCCTTAAAAAAATAATTTAGTTTATATTATAAAAATATTTTACAGTATGCCATAAATTTAAACCAATTTTATTAATATATTATTTTTAAAAATAATATTATAACTATAAAATATTATTTTGATGAGCTATTCCTGACATTATTATTGTTATAATTGATAAAGTATCAGTTTTCTTGTTACATTATACATATTCAATCACTTATAATTTTATTATAATATTTATTGAAATTGATGTATTCGTAGAGAATTTGTGTTATAAAATACATTAAATAATGTCCACAGATAATTATTTGTAAGTGTACTCTAATAACTTTTTTATAATCTATAACTTATGTCATTATGTTTGAACTATAGGAATGAAGTTTGGAGATATCCCCCAAGTACTAGAAATCGTTATCAACAATATTTCCAATGTTGGTTCCGTGGTAAACGTGGGCTTACAATTGCCTTTGGATTAGCAGGCTCTTTTATTGCTGCGGAAAAGATCTATGAACATTTTTATCCACCAGTGCATCATCATAGAAAGCCTTACTTTCCATCATCCAGTGTTTAATTTAAGATAATAGTACTAAAATCCAAGGACTTGATTGACATGTCCAGAGAAATAATTAAAATGTATTAAATTGCAATGATATGATTTTTAGTTTTAGTATAATTTGTTTGTATTACAAAAAAAATCATTTATAAAATTATTTTATACTAACTGCAAGGATAAATTTATCATGTTTAACTAATATGTGAACAGCATAAACTTTGAGTTGCAACTATATTATTTGAAAAATGGTAGTAATAAAAAAAAAAATGACAGCACAGTTTTTGTTTGCTATTCTTACCTATTTGTTTTAACTTTTTTTTTTTTATTGAAAATATAATTACAATCTATACAACATTTTTGTATAATAGGTAATTTTGATATTTACATAGCGAGATTGACGGATAGGTAAGGACACTCAGCAGTGCCATCCAACAGATTAAATTAGGATATTTCTAGGCCAGGAGTGTTTAAGATATCTCTGGAGGTGATCAGGGATTGTAAGAGAAGATAAGTATTTTGTTTATGGATTGTTATGTTGGATTAATTTGGAGTGAAAGGAGACATAGTGGAACTTAGTTGTGAAAGCAACAGAATATTTAAATCTTTGTGAAGATTATTATTTGTGATGTACTATGGAACAGAGGCAATTCACCTCAGACAGATTGACTGGAATGTTTGAATTGTTCTTTGTTGGAGGGTTTGGATGAGCCCTAAATCTGGATGCAGTAAGACCAAACAGGTTTAATGATGGCTTTGTATATTAGTAGTTTAATGATTGCTGTCTTAGAAGTGGGCATAGTAAATAGAATTTGGAGTTAACAGTTTTTTTTTTTTTTTTTTGTTTTTAAGGTATTGAGCCCATGATAGGCGTTTGTCGAATGTTAAACCTAGGTATTTTATTGTCGGGGTAATTGGAATTTGGTTGTTATTGAACGATACAGAAGGGCAGTCACCTGGTCTTAGAGTGAATGTGATAAAGGATGATTTAACTTTGTTTATTTTTAACCTAATATGTTATAACTTAATATGATTATTGTTTTTTTCTTATTTCTTAACTTACGACTTATTTATAAAAAATGAGTTATATTTTAACTAAAAAGTTAATTATTTTGAGGGATAGGTTGGTATCTCTTTGTTTTTATTACTTCTTTAATCAATATTTTTCACTTCTTTTATTGAATTGTTTAAATATTTATTGCTTATAGATTAAATAACATTATATTAATATATTAAAGACGTTTTCATAAATATTGTACTTTAGAATTGTGGGTTCCCATTTAACAATAAAAAGTTGATTGTAGTTTCACTATTAAGTATGGTGGTTAAAAATAATATTAGAAATTTAGAATACCTATATCTAAACTCGCCAAAAAGTTCAACAAAATGCAATAAATTGTTTATTTAAAGAGTGTTAATTGACTACTATTAAGATTAGAATTATCATATGGTTGTATAATGAACCAATATTAAAAAGTACACATGATTTATGTATAATATTGGTATTGCTCATTGGCGAATGCACTAATACTTGAGAAATAAATACTTGTAAGCTTATTATTTTTAAATTAACAATAATTTAATCAATAAAACATGTATAATTACAATAATTATAATATAATATAATAACATTATAATGTTTCTGATATAATAACATTTAAAATTAACTTTATATTTAATTGGCGAAGTCGTCGTTTCTGCTACGTTTATTTGAAAATAAGCAGTTCATCAACTACGCTATTTGATCGACCAAGTCCAATTTGCCTTGTTCCTAAGGCTCCCAACAATTTTTGTGACGAAGTTGCAAATTTGGTTCTGTTTTCATGATACTCTTTGGCAAAATGCTAAATTGAATATTCATTAATTAGGTGATGAAGATATTTAATAATATCAGACAAATAAAATTAGACAAAAACAGATTATTAATTTATTTATACTGAATTTTCTAGTTATCATTGGTTACTGGTTTTTCTTATAACATTCATCATTCACTTACAAATTACATACTATTCAGTATTAGCGTAATGGTAGTTTGTTCCTAATTTTTGGGTAGAAAAAAAGTGTAAGTTAAATCACTACATCTTATCATACATGGTCCAACATAAGGTTCTTTTTATCCAAATTATGGTTATCGAATTCTATTAAATTAAAAGACAAATGGAAATCTTAAGAAAATGTTTATAATATGTAATACGTTTATTTATCAAGAATTTTGAAGTTCTAAGAAATCCAAAATAAAGTTGATATCAAATACCTACCAATTGATTAACATAACTCTTAAAACTTTTTAATTAAATTTAGTTTTCGCCTAAAAATTTGTTTCTTGAAGTTATATTTCTATGTTACGTATATTATACAGTTAAATATGTATTTATAAATAATAATCATGTTAGCTATGGTTGGCAACCTTGCCACAACGCGCATATCCGCGAACAAACTGTAGATATACGTTTACCGCTCAATTCATAATTGTTAATTAGGTGTCTAGTTATTAAAGTTATTTTTTTGATTTTTCCTGTGTTCGTTTAAAAATCCGATCTTATTATATTGTTATTTCTATATATTATATAATTTAAATAAATTGTGTTTTATACTCTATTTGATTTTTTTTTCAATCTGTAAATTTGCTAAGTTTTACTTTTTGTAAATAACATTTTTTATTTAAATTTCTGACTTTGTACAATTAGCCAACTTGCCAAATACATTTTAATGTTTATATTATTTATAGTAAATATTTTTGAGAATTTTAACGAATATTTTAAGTTTAGTGTGTGGTAACTAAAATGCATAATAATATTTTATTAATGCATATCAGTAAGTGTATCACAAATTACATACCTATTTATGGTAACTTAAAAAAACTTAAAATATTGGTTTACCTGTAATTTATAAGAATTAAACATGGTCTTTTCTCTTTTCTTAATCATATATTCTGTGGGTAACAACCATCTATGTTCATGGCATTCTTCTGCCGATGGCCGTTTTCTAAAATATAAAAAATAAATCAAAGTAAAAGAAAAAAAATTAAGTTTGAATATAGGACTTGGTACCTTTTTACTGCTAGAAATACATTTTATTTCTTTATCTATTATTTAATAAATTTTACTTACGTGGGCGTTCTTTTAAATAATAACATTAAAAATCTAGTGGCTTCTTGTGATAAGTCCTTGTATAGATATTCAAATCTATATCGAACGAATGTGATGTTCTGCCTGGTCTCCGTATCGTTAGTTCCTCGGAACGGTGACATGCCAGAAAGCAGTGTGTATGCAATTACTCCAAGTGACCAAATATCGGAATACGGATATGCAGGTTCGTCGCATAAAATTTCCGGTGCTGCAGATTTCAAAAGATTAAAAAACAAGAACAAGCGATTAAAAAAAATAAAATGGTTAGTGGTCAGCAATCGATCAAATTTGATATTTACCAGTGAACTCCAAGACACTGTTTGCCCCTACAACTGCTCCAAGCTTACTGACTTTCTGTGCGCATCCAAAGTCGATTAGTTTGATGTGTATGGTACGCACGGAAGCCATCACTATGTTATCCGGTTGCAGATCCAAATGAGCATAACCTCGCCAATGTAAGTATTGCAATCCGTCTAATACCTAAAAATTACGTTCTAGTATGAAATGGTCGGGTCGGGTTAAGACAGTTAGGGTACCTGAAAATACCGAAACTAATCTAGTTATCTAGTTTATTATTAAAAAGATTATCGGAAATCATTAGTTTTTAAGTTATACGCATAGCATATTATTAGAACATCATTATTATTCTATCCTATAATCATTGATTAAAGTCTAATGTATTCTGTGGTTTTTTGGTTTTTAATGCATACGCACAGCGTTCTTATTTACCGTGTGTATTTCAATAACGAACAACGAAATAACGTAAAGATAGAATGTTGAGATATTTTTGGATATCATTAATTCGTTATTCGCATTCATTAAAATATTTTAACATTGGAAAAAAATGTGCAAAAAGAAGTAAAAATATATCGAAACATGGTTTCGAACACTGAAAATATAGTATCAACAGCCAGCAGGCACACGGTACTACTAGGTAACGACAACTAATGTTTAACGATTGTAAATTACAATGTTGAGATATTTAATATAATACACATAATAATATTCACAATCTACACTAATTTAAAATTTTTATATCACTTAAAGTTCAAAAACTAAGTTTGATTCTGATTAGGTACATCACCATTCTTGGCGTATAAAAGTACATCGTTTGATAAAGAACTTTTGGGAAATTACATGTGCGCTAAACTAGATTTATATGAAAATATCTCTTAACCTGGTTAAGACGTATTTAGAGTTATAGGTTACTTACCTATAGATACATTTGCTTAAAACTATAGAGGAAGTTCTTCTGATATTTATGCATCCTAGCACTCTACTAATTAGATTTACCAAAAAATCAAAGTTTTAACTTCAATCTAATTTTAAATTCTGCAATCGTTTATCGTTTACGAATTATGTTACTTATAATATCATTATGATAGGTAACCTATTATTCTTATTTTTAATCTTTACATTTTTGTTCTGAAAAATGGTTAACCTTTTGATTTTCGGTCTAAAAATTAGTAGATAATTAAGAATCTATTTTATTTTTAGCTACTTACTTGCTAGATTGAAATATAAAATATTATCATTAGTTTTTATTTTATTGCAATGTTAATTATTTAATCCTATAGACACAGCGAATTTTCGAAACTTAATTGAAAAAAATACAAGAATAAGGAAAATAATGATTTCATGTAAAAATTAAAACATAATTTTATGATAATATGTAAGTACCAAGCAAAGGCGCCCATAGAAAAATTCTCAAGGGGGGTACAAAATTTTAATTATGTCTATGAGATAGAAAAGGGTTTACAATTTAACATTATACTATTATATTTTATATATCAAACTGGAAGATCGTGAAATAATAATTATTTAATCAATTAACCATAAAAGTAATTAATTAAATTTTCATTTGATTAATAATATAAATTTAATAAAATATAAATTTACAAATAAAAATTGTAAATTTCTTTTTTTAATACCAAATATATTTATTACTTGTTTTATGTATTCATTCGTTTTATCATCAATTTTTTCCCTATGTACACTTATCATGCATAATCCATCAAGTCTATCTTCACTCATTGTAGATCTTGTGTAAATAATTTTTCAACATTTTTAACATTTTCCAGGGGGGACATGTTCCTCCCTTGCCCCTCCCCATATGGGCGCCCTTGGTATCAAGGAAGTTATATTATAAATT